AAATTATTCAAGAGCTGAATTTTTAAAGGATAAAATGCAGTTTCAAAGCAAATCAATTCATTTTCAAACCATAAATTCAATTTCAAATTAGACTAATTCAAATTCAGTTTTCAAAAGCATTTATTCAAGTTACAATTCAGATTCAATCTGAGCAATTCAAATTCAAATTTAACTTATTCAAATTCAGTTTCTGATGGCACATACAGATTTCTGCCCATAGAAGCGCCCCAGATTGGTCAACCTGTGTCGAAATTACTATCCACTGGGTTTCCTAAATCTGTGTTGCTCTCCCTGTAGGTTTTTGGACAATCGTTTGTTTGCCACCTGCTCCGACGACACCACAATTGCATTATGGGATCTGCGTAAGCTTAACTCAAAGGTTTGCTCATTGCACGGGCATGCCAGCTGGGTGAAGAACATCGAGTATGACACCAACACTCGTCTCCTTGTCACGTCTGGCTTCGATGGTAATGTCATCACATGGGACACTAACAGGTTAGCCATTGTCTACGGTATGTTTATTTTACATCCATGTGCTCGTTGTGTCTCTGTGCCATGTGCAGTTATGGTGAAAATAAAGTATATCCTTATTAGAAGTGGCCTGTACTTCAAACCAATTTCAACATGCCCAGGTTATCTTATTGTGATCTGGATTTTGTTTCTTTTGGCTTTCAATCAAAATGCTTTAATTTAGTTTGTTAGTTATTTAGTTTCATATATGTTACTACATGTTATACAAAAATGACAAAAATTTCAAATACTGATTTCAGTCATGAGCTAAAACCTCGGGTTTCGCACTGCACTAAATCTTTCAGTCAGTTTTTCCCGGTCTCAGATCTATGCGATATTAATGTGGGTGGATAGCTCTAATATGATCATCTCCAGGATACAGCTTTGGCTGAGATAATCATATTACGTCTGTGATATTAGACCACAGAAGCCCAAACCACCTGCTGGTTGACCTTTCTGTATGCAAAGGGCAACCAATCAGAAAGCTGGGATAAAGGGAGGGAGCAGGAGCTAGAACAGCTGATTTGAGGAAATGGAACTGAGGGTCTGCACCAAGGCTGATCTATACAGGAAGGGTTTTATAAGATATTGTAATCTAACTGTCTGTTAAACCTTAATTACTCCTCTGCCTTTATAGGTTTACAGAGGATGGCTGCCCACACAAAAAGTTTTTCCACACTCGCTACTTAATGAGGATGCGCCTGACACCTGACTGTTCCAAGATGCTCATTTCTACTTCCTCAGGGTACTTGCTCATCCTCCATGACCTGGACCTCACCCAGTCCCTAGAGGTGGGCAGCTACCGAATGCTGCGAGCACGACGGACTCCCCTCAGCTCAGGTCAGATCAGGCTCATTTGGAAATTAATGAAGTGTTTTTGCTCATGTTCCTTCATGTTTATCAGCTGGATTGTTCACGTTAGGTTGGTGTTTATTTAAAAAAAAAAAAAAACCTATAAATGCCTTTTATGATTTTGTAGATGGAGGCACATCAACGTCCAGATCCGCTTGTACTCCTCGCCAGGGAAATGACTCCAGCAAGCTCCACCCTCATAGAGAAGGTCAGGGCGAATCATGATATAGAAGGGATAAACTACTGACACATGAGGTTTTGTCTTTAATGTTATGAAAAACTGCGCTCGTAGGGCTGTCTCCCAGAAACAGTCTGGAGGTGTTAACTCCAGAGATCCCCGGCGAAAGGGACAGAGGGAACTGCATCACCTCCCTGCAGCTCCATCCCAAAGGCTGGGCCACACTCATCCGATGCTCCAGCAACACGGATGACCAAGAGGTGAGAAACATGGAGCGGTGCATGAAGCTGACATAATCACAGTTTTGTTTATTAAAATGCCTTAAACCACCAAGATCCCTCTTCAAGCTATTTCTGTAATCTACACAGGCTAAAATACGCCTTCACTAATATTTGTTCCCTCTAAAAGTTTTGTTAGCCATTAACAAGCGTAATTCTGGCTGTATATTTGACCACTTTTCTTGTAGAACTGAAGTGCAGTGTCATACTTTTAAGCAGCTTACAAGTAAAAGGCCACTAAAGGCTGTATTTCCAGTGATGACGCTGATGCGATTGCGTGTTTAATCATCTGGTATTAAACTGCATCACTTGTATGTCTGTTTTCTCACTGCCTTTCTCTCTTCAGTGGACGTGTGTGTATGAGTTCCAGGAGGGAGCACCCACTCGCCCGCTGGTCTCCCCCCGTTGCTCCCTCCGCCTTACCCACTACATCGAGGAGGCCAACGTGGGGCGGGGCTACATCAAGGAGCTGTGCTTCAGCCCAGATGGACGGCTCATCTGCTCCCCTTACGGCTACGGCGTACGCCTCCTGGCCTTCGACGAGCGCTGTGGCGAGCTGGTCGACTGCCTGCCCATCCAGACCAGCTGCCTCAGGGAGATACGCTCCATCTACTCGCACAGTGACGTAGTGCTCACCACAAAGTTCTCCCCAACACACTGCCAGCTGGCCTCAGGGTGCCTCAGTGGGCGTGTGGCCCTTTACCAGCCCAAGTTTTAGCATCCGGTGCTGTTGAAGAAAGAAGTGTCGCAGACCTCAGTGAAGAAGTACTGATTAGGGTTTATGCACAGCAAGTCTGAGAATATATCAAAGAAGCATTAATTTATTCATAATCACACAAAAATCTATAAAAACCTTGCATTGCCCAAGTTTAGTGCAGCTACTTAATCGCTTTGATTTTTACTGTTTTGCCATTATGTGTTTACAGATTGTTTAGCTACTGAGAAATATGCTTAGCTTCTGTCGGAAACATTAAAGGAAAAGTTGTCAAAAACTCTAAAAAGGAGAAAAAAACGTGTAGCAATCCTAAATCGGATTCCCGGCATCTGTTTGTCTGAATCTTTTTCCGATAAACTAAAGAAACAAACCCTAAAAGTACTTCTTGACCCAGGTCTGCAGCAGCTAAGCAGGCAAAGTTAGTTTGGATTGTAAGTGTCAGCTGATAGCCATTGACATGGGAGAAGAACGGAGAAGACTTGAGCTGTGGACCGGTGGCCAGACTGCAGCAGTGGATGGAAACCTCACTGACCCTGAACTTTAAGAAGAAAAAAAGGCAGTGCAAGAAAGATCAGTTGGGTTTTACTTTTGTTCTCAGAGACAGTGGCGCAACGTGGCATCAGTGAAGGACAAGCTCGTTTTCATATTAAAGATTCGTTCTCTATAGCAGTAAAAAACTTTGATTTTGTTGAGACTCGGCACACCCAGATGTTGCTGTCTCAGGACAAAAACACTAAGGATGCAAGCGGACATGAATCCTAAAGTGACGAGTAAGGAACGGGCGCTTTCGTCTGTCGCTGGTCGTCTCAATTCAGCGTCCTCTGCTGCACATCGTGTCGCTCTCTGCTGCTCTGCTCATGCCTTTTCTCCACAGGTGCTGCTTCTCTGCTCATACAATCTGAACTTTGACCCCTGGCTTCAAGTACGTTTTCTGTCTCCACCCTGTTTCTGCCTTCATGGTCTTTGATAGTGTTTTTTTAAAGTGGTTTTATTGGTGTATGAATTATGGCACTACTTGTAGCACGATGTTTGATGCTATTCTCACAGTCACTGAGGCTACTTTAAGAGTAGATACATTGGAGTCACTTTTCATTTCCTGTAAGTGGAAACTGCTGAAGTCCAGCTGCTGTCAGTGTCTCATTTTCAGATTTTTCCACACCCACTCTTTGTAAAAATGAAAATGTAGTAGCAGTTAAGTATTTTTCCCTTAAACATTGCTGGCATTATTATAGATTTTCCACATCGAGCACGCTGCTCTGGCTTCCCAACCCTGCCTGCGTCTCGCAGCATCTACATCGTTTCATCTGAAAATGCAACTCTTTAAAATATTTTCATCTGACTTACTTTTGTCTTTTTCACTTTTTTTCTGTTTCGCTTTTTTCCTCTCCAGTGTTACTCAAACAGAATGGTGCACTAAACGTATTTACAGTTAGCCTCAGTATCTATGTTCAAATAGTGAGGCTAACTAATGTGTTTCTAATGTTTTTGACTGCATTGGAGCTGTCAGACAGCTGGAGACAGACATATAAGCTGTTTCATTAATGCTTGCTGTAGAATATTGCCGGCCTTTTTATTTTATCAGTGGCATGTTCACTTTTTTGACTGAGAAAGATTCTTTACATTCTTTATTTAACATTTGCAAGATGAAATTGTGCTTTTTCTACCCCTGAACCTAAGTTTTTTTGGGTTTTGGACAGTGCTAATCCACACTGTTTTGTCACACCTAGTGTTTCACGTTTGCTTGTGTTAGCATAAAGTTGATAAGCAAGGCTTTTCTCCTCTTTAAAGGAGCAAATTGCTTTGACTGTTCTGGTAAGAGCAATGCTTTTGTGTTTTGTATAGCTGCTGTAAGCACATGCCTGATTGTTACAACTGTAATGTATACTGGCTACAGTACATACTGACTGACTGCAGAGTAGATGGAAACTTGCTGTTAGGGAAACAAACAAACAAAAAAAAAAAAGACAGAAGCGTATACTATGCATACCAGCCTCTTAAGATAATTCTTCTTTCTTATTTATGTGAGGCTCTGTGTTGAGCTCTTAGATGCCAAATGTTTTGTTTCTGTTTGTTTTTCTTTCTTTTTTTTTACTTGGACTTCTCTGCCGTGAGCTAAAAGTGGGTATCTATTTGTGGATTTGGAAATATCTTCTCTCGTTTCACATTTTGGGAAGTGTCTCATTCACATCTGGTGGGGTGTTGAGATGGAACTACATTCATGCCTTTGGTATTAAAGGGGGAACTGTTGCTTTATGGATATATTGAACACTCAATATTTAGTGGTGTATATTTGACAGTGTTTAGATGCTCTAAATTCTGAACCTGTGTCTCTAAACCTTAATGTTAAAAAAAAGATACTGCAAAGATAAGAGTGCAGCAGCACCCCCTACAGTCACAAAATGTTAAAATGCTGGCTAATCACTCCAAATATTCAGGGTTTTACAGTCATGTGACTACCAGCTCTACTTGTTTGCCATCTTGGATGAGTCTTGGACACAAGTTTTGGACACTGTCCTTGACTGTCTGTCATTTACAAGTTTTAGATAGAAGCTGATGGCGACACATGTGAAATCGGTTGTTAAAACCCCCCAATTATGCCCCCCCTCCCAAAAAAAAAGCCCTCCGTGTGATTGCTTTGATTGCTACCAGATTCCTGTGGTTGCATGGAGTTTGCATCAAGCAGCAACTTATCTGCAAACACTCACCAACTAGTCTGACTGCTAGTTTAACAAAATGTTCACCAAGTAAAAGTTTGCATTTTTCCAACCCACGCTCCAAAACTTTCTGGTTTTGTAGCGTTTCTGGTTTGTTTTGCACTTTTTTGCTTGACTAGTAGTTGGCGAGTGTTTGCAGACAAGTCGGTGTCTTCCACGAAGAGAACATCCAGCCCTGGCAATTTGAGAGCGACCAAAGCACTCTGAGATTTTGCAGTAGGACCCTCTTTGAGGCAGATTTTTACCTAGCAACAGCATGCAACTGCTCACCAACTGTTGGGGGAAATACACATTTTCTTCCTGTCCTGAATGGTGATTGTATCTCGTCCAATTTGGCTGACAACGAGCGACTTGCATATGACCTCAAAAACCTTTATAAAGCCAGTGGTAAGATTACCATAATCACTGGGAAGATTATTAATTAGCACTTCTGTCTCCCTTGGCTACTCAGTGTGCCAGTGGATAACATTTAATTCTGTTAGAGAAAGCTGGGCTAGCTGCTTCCAATTGTTTCCACTTTGTGCTAATCTAATGCAAACTGGCTGTTAGGGGTAACTTTATATTAATTGTGAGTGCTATTATTTCTTCTTTTCTGGTCTCAACTCAGTGCCACAAAATGTTGGGGGGAAAAGTGCGTGATAACATTTAACTTCATTTGGGTTTGAGGTGATAACACAGGTGGAGTCTTAGATTCTAGCTCACTGTATGGTCCTGCAAGCAATGAGAAAAGATGCTTTTAACACTTTGTACCTCAGTTACATGCTCAAAATGTGTTTTCAGTATGTTGCAAACGGAGTCCATTTCACCTTCAGCTCTGTCGTCTTTCTTTCTCTTAAAATTATTTAATTTCTCGGATTACTGACATTTTTAAAAAAGTAGACATTTCTTCTGTAAACAGCTACTTTAAAATGAACTGACTGAACTGATGGTTAAAGGATGCTGTGTATTCACCGCTGCTTTTATTTCACTTATTATACTCATGAGCTCTTTGAGGAAAAGTGTCTTATCTGCCATTTTCACTTCAGGTATAGTAACTAAACACCGGGTTCATTTTTAGGAATTTCTTTGTTGCTTTATTGCTCCGGTTCTGGGTTTTTAACCTGTTTTCAGCTGTGGGTTAAAGGAATGCTCCCAGTATTTGTGGCGATCACAGCTGGGGAGGGGGAAGGGTAGATGCACTGTTGTTTCCTACCTGGTTACACAGAGTAAGTAATCCTGACAGCGATACTAAAAATGGTACTTATCAGAAATAAAAACTTAGCTTCTTTTTCACTGCTGACTGCTCTGTGTTTGGGTCCTTTATTGTTAATTTTCTCTTCATTTATTGATTTATTTTTAAATTGTCTTTAGAATTTCTTCTCTATATGTCAGTCAAACTCTTTCACATCTGCTGCAGTCCCAACTCTGAGAATGACTTTCCTCATGGGAGGATTAGCAAGTTAAAGGAAGAAATGGTTTTTATTTTTATGCTCTTTCGCCCTATGACAGCTGGGATAGGCTCCAGCGCCCCCCGCGACCCTGAAAAGGATAAGCGGAAGCCAATGGATGGATGGATGGATGCTCTGGTGAGTTATAAAATAAACAATTAAACATTATCTAAAGGGGAGAAGAATCCTATTCATTCAATCACATCATATAAGGACTAGACTGAAAATGAAGAGTCAAGACTTTTTCACGGTGCTGTAAATACACAGGAGGACGAGCATGCAATTTCTGACTACTTCAGAAAAGAAGCTAATCCAGCCAAAAATACATGTAGGAATTGCAACAGTAGTAGCAAAGGATCTCACGTGCTTATGTACAGTCTGTCATTTTTTTTTTCTGTCAGTGGCAGAAAAATGTTTACACAGGTACATGATTGGCCTGAAAATGAAAGACTTTGGTTGCACCTGAAACACCCTACATCACATTATTACTTGACTTGCAGGGGGTGTTTATCAGTGGGGAAAAACTGTAAATCTTATGAAAATACAGTTAAAGTCCAAAATCTATCCCCTCCTTCAGATTTTCCAAGAGCCATCCAGTTGGACATATTGGATTCTTTGCTGGGGTGTTTCTGCCCCCTGGGCCTTATGTTTATACCCCTGCTCTATATTGTACAGATTTTAGCCTATCTGAGCTACCACAGGGCAAGATGTGTAATTTCATTAAAATATATATAACTTTGAAACAAATATATATATATATATATATATATATACATATATATATATATATATACATATATATATATATACATACATATATATATACATATATATATATATATACATATATATATAATATATATATATATACATATTAATATATTTGTTATCAACAGTATTTTATTGTCTGAAATGTTTACTTTTAGTTAAGTTTTATTAGTTTCAGTTTTTATTTCTTAAATATTTTTTATGGATGGAGGGCATATGTCAAAGGCAAGATATAGGAAAATCCGTACAGGTGTTATAATAAAAACAGTTGATGTTCAATCTTGCAGATGTGCAGAGTCTCAATAAAAGCACCTGTCAGTGAATAATTAGGCATGTTGTTAGCAGATTTCGACAATACTAACAGATAGTTACATAATCTATAATCTTTATATTTTTATTTTATTTTTATAAGTTCAAGAAATCATTTTACTTTGATGTTTTTCAAAGGTCTTAAATTTGTTTTGTTTTGGGAGGGTTTTCACATCTAGTTTTAATTAGCTGTGATAACTTTGGTCTGCATGATTCTTTGGGCTTAAGTTGCAAGAATTAAATGTGTACAATTGCAGACAAAGTTGTGATAACTCTTTGGCCAGACTGTAATTAATAAAACAAAGTTTTTATTAAAAGACATAAAAAATCCTTTTTGCAGAAATGTTTGTAGTAGATAGACATTTATTGTTTGTCTATTGGTTATCTAATTTGGTGTAGTATGAATGGGCATGGCAGTATTTAAGCAATAAAACAGATGTATTTATGAAACTTAAGCCATTCAGTGGGCTGGATTGGTGTCTAGCCACAGGCTTTATTTAGATGTCCACAGTGAAAATTAATTTTTTATCTCATTTATTTGAATTCTTTCTTTTATTTTGACTACATTGTCCATCTGTTCAGCACTTTAGCCAACGCTTGATGTCTTTTAAACGTGCTATACAAATAAAGCTCATTTGATTTGAGGTTTGTCCACGTGCCACGCAGATTTCCCTCTTTTTCATCCTTCCACTCATCTCATGTCCTCACTTTCAGATTGCAACCAATGGCAGTTTCTTTCAGCTGTTCACTTCTGTTAATCTTAGGTTCAGATTAAATACACTGGATAACACAGTTATTTAACTTTATTGGTCCAGTTGGACTTTAGTCAGACAACCAAACTAAAATAAAAAGAAACACTTTCAGAAAATTTATGACATCAGGCCAGCTGACACTGAAATCCTCACCTTAGTTAATGTACAAAAGAAAAAAAAACAGTAAATTCACAATTTAGGAACTCTTTGCGTAACTTGTAAGGATACTTGAACCAATTTAAAAACCTGTTCTGCAATAACATTGTGCCCCAGAGTTTATGTGCCTGTCATAGCCTGAAGGGTCCCCAAACTGAGAACAGTGTCAGAGACATAAAACGGTCTGCATGTTTTGATATTTGAGAAATACTTTTTGTTAACCAGGTGAGCTCCTTTAACAGCAGAAATGTAATTTTTCCCAGAGGACAGTTCATGAGCCCGCTCTCCCATCTCCTCTCATGCTTTCCAGGCTTGAGAGGACCGAGCTCTTCTCATCCGCTGACCCTCCCTGCGGCGGTTGATTGCCTTGGTGCTAGCCCGTAGCTTTCGGAGCCTCAAAGCACGAAGACGCAGCTGAAGATCCTGCGGGATCTTCCCCCCTTTGGCCCTGATCTCCTTCAGCCTCTGGATGGGTGTTTTGGTGAGGATGAAGTCACAGATGGTGGGATTTGGTTCCATGCCGACATTGCACCGACGCATGGATGGGAAGTAACCCACGGCCCAAACGATCACCTTGTACTCGCCTGGGTTCAGAAGACGCCAGTAGTCCCCATCAGTGGCTACAGAAAAAAATGAGGTTTGCAGAATTTTAATCTAAGTTTCTGGTTTTACTGGTTAATGCATCTGTAGAAGATAAATGAATAATTTTGCCAAAAACTGATTGCAGCTTCTATCTTGTGACAAAAATGTTCTTCGGGGCTCCAAATGGCTTGATATCAGAGATATGTTTGACGGATTACAGGTCAGTAAGTCATTTACAACAGTTCAAATACAGCAATTGTCAAAATGGTTCTTTCGGTGTGTTTGGTTACAGGCTGTTAACTTGGTATACACAGAAATACAGCTAAAACAAAGATCCATTTGATGGTTGTAGTTTGACACTTTTTACTTTAACACCCTGCTCATTAGAAAGAAAATCAACTGGCTGACCTGATCGGATGTCATGGTCATGGTCCTCCACCTTGATTATAGCATCTGCTATTCCTTTTTTGGTGAGCTTGTCCCTGACCACACCTTTGATGCCTCTGTGAACCTGAGAGAGGAGAAAATGCTGCCGTGTGAGCCACTGCTTTGAAAACCACGTGATAACTTGTACCATTTTCTTTGAACAGGTTTACCTGCTCCATGTAAACCAGCAGAGACTCCTTATTGTTCTCCCACTCGATGGGGAGTTCACTAACATGAGGAAACTTATCACAGGACAGCTCCACTGTCACCTCGAAGCAGTTGGTGTGCAGGTAACTGAAGTCGTTCATACCTGCAGGAAAGGCAGGCACAGAAAACACAGTGAATACTGAGTGAAACAGTCGTGCAATTTATAGGTTTAAGGGAAAAAAGAACTGAATTTGATCCTTGAATAGAGAGAAATATGACATCTGTCAGTGATTAACTTGGTTAAATATTGATGTATTTTTTAAGCTTGCAAATTATAGCAAGATTAAAATTTGATATGTACTGGAGCCTAGTTTAATTTAAGGGACATGTAATTTGACAGGATGTTTGCACATTGGTAGTAAATGTTTTTAAGTGTTTCAATCTGCTCTCTTGTTTTGTAACACTAACTGAAATCACACAACATCCTCTGAAGACGACGATGCAGCATTTTTTGGGTCTGATGAGTCTCAGATGGCGGAAATCATGCTCAGAACAGACTGATGAAACTCACTGCCAGGAACCGTGTGCCAGGCTCCGCCGTTGATGATGTTGTTATGTGACTGAAATTCCTCGTAGTGGCAGATACGTCGGTCCGGGTTGGCCATCACCAGGTTAGTCGAGGCATAGACCGAGGCCAGCCAGCGAAAGAAGGCGTTGTCTGCTGTTGGCGTGTCTTCCTGTGGCGCCCAGTCACGGGTGCAGTCGAAGGGATAGGTAACAACAAGCTCTCCACCATGGAGGTTGGCGCTGAGCACAAAGGGAATGTCCTGCATCCAGCTGATGACCGCACGTGTCTCTGGTGCAACCTGGGCAGAGGTAGAAGGAGTTTAGTTTAAGCATGTGAATCTGCAAAAAAATAAATTGTTAAAAGTAAAAAGGCATGCAGTATTCAAAAAATAAAAAGCTGAAGTATTAAAAGTAAAGAAAAAAAGGTGAAAACATATTATTTTATTAGGTTATTTGTCTTTTACTACAGCGCATTATCATATTTCTCTTTGACTTTATATTTGATTCTTAGCATGCTTTTCTATTTCTTTAGCATTCTTACTTGCAGTTACTGTGTGTATGAGAGTCTTAGGTTCATTGGGTTTTTTCCTTTATGTTAAGTTTACTGTGATGTGCAAGTTTCCCTGTTTAGTTATTTCCTGTTTTAGTTTTCTAGTTAGTTGTCTCCTGTGTTTTGCATTTAGTTTTATGTCCTCTGTTTTGTTATCGTGATTAGTTTGACCTGTGCCTCGTTGCCCAGATGTTTCTAATTCCCTGATTTGTTAACTGACCCTGTTTTCCTGTTACGGAGTGTGTGATGCTTTTGTTTTGGACTACTTTCTTTGTTCATGGAAGACACTGCCAGATACAGTCTGACTGATATTAGGCCAATATTAGCTATTTGCTGATCTAACACTGTTGGTGTTTAAAAATCAATTAATAAAGATTAGATGAAAATTTAAAGATTAGAGACAGGACGCTCCTTTCCTGCTGGCATCATGTAAATACTACAAATCCAAAAACCAGCTGGTCTGAGCAGAGTTGCTACGTTATAGCGTCCAAAACGATGAAGCAAGATTTCACCTTATCTGGGTAACTTCTGGGTTGACCTTGGGGTTTCAGTACTATGACGATGGATCACTACTTTTTTTTTATTTTATTGCCACGGTAACTTAAACTGCAAACCCAACCTGCTCCACATGAGGTTGTGTTGCAGGTTAGAGATCAACGGGTATGAAATCATCTCCTATTGACCAATCAGTTCTCTATAAAATCACTTTCACAGACCTCTCTCCTGAGAGTAAGAGGGTCTAAAGATTTTTTTAAAGTGTTTAAAGTCATTGTGTTTCACTGATGAGCAATTATAAGAAATATATGTTCTTAGACATAACGTTGTGGTGGGATTGTCTTCATGACACCCAGGACGCACTCTAGTATAACTTCATAAATCAGTTGTGTAACTTCTGTAAGCCACTTCTGACGTGTGATCAGCGACTGCGTGTTTGCCATTAGTGAGAGCAACTTTTTGGAAAATCTTTTCTATATGCACTTTAAAGTTCTTTTCCTGTTTTTCTAGCATGATCTTGACTAATAATAGTAAAGCCAACATGGCAAAGACTGTAATCTGCATATGTGCAACCTTGTGCAACCTGCAAATTGATGGCCAGGAGTGTCTCTACACAAAAAAGTCTGTATCGATATTGATTAATATTAATTCAAAATTGATTTAAAAGTCCAGTATTGGTCTGGCTCTAGTCAGAGAGTTAATGGAGTAAAGAAAGAGAGGAAAATTCTAAATGTTGCACAGAAAAACTTGCTTTTGTTCTTTTTTTTGTGAACTTTTGTGGACTTGATCTTGAACAGGTTTTTAACATATACCTTTTTCTCATTTGTTTTCCATTCAACAACTTTAATGTCTGATAAAACGAGCAATTTCTCATTAGATCTATGCACTGCTTACACTGATGAAACATCTAACAACTCGCAGACATTTGAAACGTGGAGGAGCCCTGTTTTTGTGAAGTAAATTCTGTTGTCAGATGTATGTGAAGAAGGAGGGAAGACAATACTGAACCCTGAAATGTCACAAAGTCAAACTTCTAACAACGAAGCAAACAAGTGGAAACACTAAGCCTAGCTCCTAAAACTGGTACTTAAGTACAGTTCTCAGGTGAAATAATCAGACACTGGAAAGATTTTCAGAATAAAACACAGATGGCAGGATTAATAATCCTAACCCATATGATGCAGTTAAATAAATACCCTTTTTAATAACAAAACACACCCAAGAAGAAATTCACCAAAGAAAAGCTTGTAGATCTGGTGATCTTTTTCTGTCATTAAGCAGGATTTCAGCCTGTGTTTGCCTTGAACACTGTCACCAGACACTGAGTGACAATCCTCAGGCTTTCAGGAAAACTAGTTTCTTGGCTCTGAAATGATTTCCTGATCTGAGCCTTTGCATGTCAATGAAATGAAAATAATGGCACGCCGACTAAAGCTGACTAAAGCTGCTCTTTCTCACGACCTTTGTGAGAACAGTGAGCATTGTAACATTGTAGTCAATTCTAATGCTTTAGTTTCTATTTCCTGTCAATGTTAAAATAGCCTCCAGGTGGTGCCAATGAAATGAATTTTTCAAATGCACAAATAAGATGCATTTCCTTACTATGGCGTCTTCTTTGGTGTAGTATTCTGGGATGGGGATGTAGTGGTTGGGCACTTTGGATTTATCTGCCGCTTTTTCTTTGGTGTCCCACATAATGTTGTTCAGGTCTGGGAAGTTATGATTCAGGTCGATTCCTTCAAAGCTGTATCGTCCCTCAGCCCATCCAGACAGTTCTGAACCCTGCACCACATTAACAAGTATAATGTGGGGATTATTAAAGAGCATATTTTATATATATATATATATATAAATTTATTATTATTATTTTTTTTTTAAAAGAACAAGACATGAGCCTAATTAAGATTTACCCACCTTCACATAAGCCTCTTCATATCCATCTGGGTTCATGGAGGGCAGGAGGTGGATTCGCGTCTCGGTGACCAGCCGTACAATACGCTGGTTGCCCTTTTTGTATTCTTTGCACATATACTGCATGAGGTTTAGGACAAGCTCTCGACCAAGAGCTTCATTTCCATGCATCCCTGCCACGTAGCGAAACTCAGGTTCCCCTGCCAAGAGGAAAATTTAGAGCCACTTTACATGCCAAGGAATAAAAAAATGTGGAAGAACTGACTGGGGCACTTCTAAAAGGAGGTCATATTAAACATTATCTAAGATTTTAAGTTTATTTTTGTTTTCTAAAGCTCAGCAGCACACTAGGAGGACATTTAATTGCTCAGATAAAGCAGTCTGTGTTAGGCAACAGTTTGGCGCCAGGCATTTCTAAGTACATGACTCCAAAGACCTGAAGTCTGGGCTTTTACCACAAAAATAAAATATGTTCAAGGCCTCAGTGTTTTCTCTGAGACTTGGCACTGATCACTACTCCATGAAATCAATTAAACAGCTGCTGACACATAAGAGCAAAATGCCTGGGAGCAAAGTGATTTTGAAACGTGTTTATGACATTTCTCTTAAGAAACAAAGACAAGCTGTACCATACTTGATTTTACTAATCTTGCTGGCAGATGTTGAGTGGCCACAGATCACATTTAAACCCAAGCCTGTATCTAATGGCAATGGTTCAAAGAAATAAAATCATTTGTTTATACAAGAGAGGCCTTCTCCTCAGGACCCCTGCCTCCCTGTGTGGGGCTGCTGCAGAAATCAGGCTGTATAAACAATGGTGGACATTGAACTGCACCTCTGAGCTGCGAAACTCTGGGTAACTTGAGAAATATGACAAACCAGAAAGTTTCATTCCAATATCTTCAAGTCTTACCGATTTCATGTTTGCCCGGGTTATCTGAGATCTCCATAACGTAGAGTTTGAGGCCCATGTAGCTCCTCCCTATAGTGTAGACGCGGGTGATGTCGGGACACTCCTCCGTCACAGACTTCATGAGCTTCAGGGTTCAGAAAACACGCTGGAGTGTAAGGCTTAAAAGGGTTAAAGCTGAACTTTTACCAAATCTGCAAACCGTTAAGAGCATGAGTAAAAACCCTGGTGTTTATGGGAAAGCCACTCAACCTGTAACTTTCCTAACCTTTCTCATCTCTTTGTAGTTGTGGTGTCTAAAGTCCAGAGCATCCTTGGATCCTGATTCATGCGCTGAGTAAATGTCAGATGGATCTTAAAGAAAGTAGCAGATGTTTCCAGTTACATATTTTCTTTTAATTGACTTTCGGAGGTCAACATCTTAATGCATTTGAACATCCACAGTAAATGCTGTGTCCCTCTCGACTACTGTTTTT